CCCCCCCCCCCAGTGGCTATTCAGTGCTGCCAGAAGTACAAAGAATGCTCCACCTCACCTGGTACCCCCCCTAAAATGGAACATTTCTTGGGTGCCTTAGCGCTCTGCTTGGGCCAGCCAGCAGCCACCTCCCCAGTGCAAGTACCCGTAATTTCTGATGGGAGTGGCTCTGCTGAACAGGAAAGCAGGGGGCCAGGGGCGCATGGCTATAGCTGGGAGTTAGCAGCTTTCCTCTCACATGTTGGGGCTTAACTTGTACATAGTCACATGTAGGGCAGTGGTGGACCCAAAACCCCTCCTCCCTACTCTTGTGCTCGCTCCAGGTTCTCTGCTGCTGGGGAAGGGGTCCTGGGGTATGAGTAGATAAGGGAAGGAAAGCACAACTAAACCCACAGAAGCTCATGGGGTTAGGAAAAATCCAGTTCTACCCCTCTCCCTGCAAAAGCTTAAGACTCAAAGCTACTGAAAGGAGAGAGAGTTTCTGCTGAAAGATTGCACAGTTTAGAGGCTGGAACAGAAATGACTGGGAGAGAGAAGAAAGACACAGCCTTGTACCCAGAAAAACTGTTCCTGTGGTTTCCCAAAGACAAAAATATGATGGTTTGAAACAATGGGAAAGGTGGGAATAAAAACATACTTGGGGAAACTGAATGGATGCCTTCAAACAATACTGGGGCACAATTAACAGCGTCCTCTCTCTCTCTCTCTCTCTCTCACACACACACACACACACACACACACTCACACACACCTCTCTCAGGTTAGTCGATTGCTACCTGGCCTCCATCTTGGGGTGCGCCCAAACTCAGCAGTAGTTGTCCCTGAGGAGTTCCCAAGAGGGAGGTTTGGGTAAAAGGTGGGGGAAGGAGGCTGCAAGGCCCAAGGTCCAGGGTGCCTCCCTGCCCTCTCTAAGCTACTGAGTTTCAGAAAAGGCTAGAAACTCAGCATGTGAGGAGTATCCAACATTATAGAGGGGACAGCTATTGGCAGATGAGGACAGAAAGACAGGGACCTCTGAACTTTTTTTCCTTTGAAGGAAAAAAGATTTGGAAAAGGATGAAGGAACCCGTACACGAT